TGAGGCTTTGGCTGCAAGTCCCTATGTCCAATTTACTGAATAAAACCCTAGGCCCAAAAGAGGCTAGTTGAATATCATAAATATTATAAATAAGAGTATAGTGATTTAGTAAAGTGATCAGATTGGCAATTTTCTAAATGGTAAGTTAAGTATTCAAATCTCATTGATGATGAAAATTTAAATAATTATCTAAATAATATTTGTATTATAATAACTATTATTAATAATTAGATTAGAATATCTATAATAATAGTTATATCAACATAACTGACAGGTCATAGAATATCTGTGTAATTAGTTATACAAAGAAATACAAATTAACAAATTAGACAATACAAATACTAGATAGTTTTTGTGACTATATAAATTTGTTAAAATTAGATAACAAGAAGCTTATTTAAAAATAACTAAATAAAAAGATAACCTAATCTTCAATAACTCCTATTATAAAGTCTAATCTAAAAAAACAAATATCAAGATTATAATATCTGATCATAGTATCTGAATGAATAAGAATTTTTGAATTGAAAATCTTAAAGATACCATCAATCAGGCTACTAAAATGAATTAAAGAAAAAGAATATTAGACTGATCTGATATACTGATAAATTGATTATAATTCTATACAAACTATTTAGATTAAAAATCTAATAAAAAAAAAAATAAAAAAACAGTAATATACTAATATACTAGAATTATGCTATGAAGTAGATACTGAGATTTGTGTAAATTTTACAAGTACATAATAATTAAATAATATAATTCTGATCACAATTGTTAGTTCTAATATAATAATACCAGACTAACTGTAAAAATAAATACAAAAAGTTTACCTTAAGAATAAAATAATTCTAAAATTAAGACAATAATCTGAATATCTAGATATGATTTAATGATATTAACACAGATTGCAAATTTAAAGAGTTTAAAATAAAACACCTAAACAGAGATATTAGATATAACAATTAGTAAGAAACCTTTAGACAAACTTTTTAAATAGATAATATGAAAAAGTTATATATATAACCAATTGTATGCTCTTTTGTAGTGATTCACTAAATCACATCATCAAAAAAATCATTAATAAAAGTTAAAAGACCAGAGGTTATCTTAATATCAAAAAAAAAATTAATAAAATTTTATTTCATCTTTATAAAATTTATTCCAATTGCAATATCAATATTGTATACAAAACAGACAAAATAAATAATATATGGTAGTATAGAAAACAAATATCTCAATGGCCAATAATGATTATAAAATTTTTTTCTAATGACTTAATAATAATAGTTTAAAGGACCAGTATCATGCAAGATAATTGTTGACATAACATCAATATAATTGTTCTTACGACACAATTATCATTATGCAGCTGATATGCACCGTGGAAATATCCGCATGAGCCGATAAAAATTCATACTGGGATAGACCACGAAATACGGTATTTAATTTGTATATGAAGTTGTTGATCAATTTGATTAGTTAAAGTCCATGTGTCATAAAATCTAGATCGGTGCGTTTGGTATAAATTTGGAAATGATCTACGCTCTGCATAATTACTTCCTTGATATATATATAAACTAATAACCATAATTGCATCAAAAAGGTAACCTTGCTTTAATCGTCTCCCATAAAAGGTGCGATCATCAATGTCCATTTTTGGACTGTACTAATGTCTTTTTTTTCGCCATGGCTAGGGTTAAAAATGAACAAGTAGGAATAGAAAGGTCAACTACTTTTACAAGTCTTGTCGCTTTCACAAGTCTTGCCACCTTTTGTCACCCTTCGCCAGTTTGCCACCTTTCGTCAGTTTGCCATCTTTCGTCAGTTTGCCACCTTTCGTCAGTTTCACCATGTTTCGCCATTCCGCCTTTTTAATTTTTTTTTGGCGAAAGTCGAAACCAGTTTCGCCTTTCGCCAGTGGCGAAACTTCTAGACTTCGCCTAACAACTCTAGGCCTTACTTCCTTTTCGATGAAAATAACGCGTCTTCGTATTTGTGAATTCCATACCTCTTATCTACGTAGCACAATAGTTCCCTTTTTGCTAGCTGATATTGGTGAAGGAATAAAAGAATGTGAAATCGTACAATGGTTGGTATATTAATCGCTCATCTTGTTCATCTGGTAAAATGAAATAAGCCTTTAATTATCTATTTTTGATACAGGTTTGTTAAGCCTGGAGATCAGATCAGCGAATTTGAAAAAATTTGTGAAGTGCAATCCGACAAAGCTACTGTAGAAATTACATCACGTTTTACTGGCACTATTAAGGAATTACACTATCAAGTTGGGGAAATGGCTAAAGTTGGAAAACCGATAGTTAACATAGAAACTGAAAGCGCCTCAGAAAACCATGAAGGGTTGGAATCCGATGAAAATACTGTAACTTCTACAATAATTCAGCATTCAGAACTTAAAACAAATACTTTTTCTGCAAATGATAAAGTTTTATCTTTGGCAACTCCTGCTGTTCGGCGTATAGCGAAAGAATACAAAGTTGATATTTCCGAGATTAAAGGTACGGGAAAGGGGGCCCGCGTCACAAAGGACGATGTGATGAACCACGTAGCCAAGAAGACCCAATCTATCGTAAAGCGTAATTATTTTATTTATTAAAAACTTTTTTCGAATATCTAGTCAATTTATTGACTCTTGATGCGCAATTTGTAGCTATCGCATCGTTACCACCACAGGTTCCTACAACATTTGAAGACAAAATTACATCTTTGTCAACTATTCAAAAATCCATGTTCAAGTATATGACGCGCTCCCTTCAAATTCCTCACTTTGGTTATGGTGATGAATTCATATTGGATAATGCTATCGCATTACGTGATATGGTCAATGAGTACATTGCACAAAGCAACAAATTTTCATTCAAAAAAATTACATTCATGCCAATTCTTATAAAGTCGTTTTCTGTAGCGTTACAAAAGTTTCCAATTCTCAACGCTTGTCTCGTGGATGCCGATAGTCCAGACACTGTCAAATTAAAATACCGTAGCGTTCACAATATTGGTGTTGCAATGGACACACCCGGAGGCCTTTTAGTACCAAACGTGAAAAATGTGCAAACAAAATCGATTTTTGATATCGCAGCTGATTTACAACGTTTACAGGAAGATGGCAAAAGAAATGCGATCGCCCTTTCTGATATCCAGGATGGAACTATAACGCTATCTAATATTGGCATTATTGGTGGAACGCATCTTTCTCCGGTTATTTTTTCTCAAGAATTATGCATTGCTGCCATTGGCAAAATTCAGCGACTACCACGGTTCGAACCTGTTAAAGATGATTTTACAGGGAAAACTACTGACAAGGTGATCGCCAAACATGTAATACCAGTGAGCTTTTGTGCGGATCATCGTATAATTGATGGTGTTACTGTTGCGAGATTTTCAGAGGCTTGGAAAAATTTATTAGAAAATCCTGCTTTAATGTCTGTAGAGTTGCGGTAATTTTTTTAGATCTTATAGAATAATTTAGAATAGCGTATCATAAATTTGAATTTATATATCTAATTGTCCGGAGCGAAACGGAGAACTCTTAAATTCTATGCAGTGATACAAGAGTTATGTATTTGGTTTATTCAGCTCGAAATTTCTGTCCGTCCAATCACATGATTTGCACAATTTATCTGATTTGGCACTGACGTTAAATTTTATTGTATAATTAACACAGATACTATTCTTTATGCTTCAGGTTGTGCAAATTAAATTATTGTTATTACTATCAGGTATCAGATATTAATTTAATTACGAGTAGGATATACAAATTTTCAATTTTATATAGATTAATTTTGTATAACAGTTATTGTTCACTGGCTATAGTGTGCATTTATAGAATTAGTATTTCTTCCTACTCTGTTATTACAATAAATAATACCCCGAGTCTTTCTAATTAGTGTTCCAAGTTGGTAAAAATTTTGCCAATCAAATAGTTGCAACTAATCAACTTTTATATCATGTGACTAAATTTGTTAATTAGCCAATCAAATCAAAGAAATTGGCATGAGTTAGCCCGAACAGACAGAATGTCTCACAATTGAACTATTTAATGATTCAGTTGTTTAAAAATTTTCAAATCAACTAGTCGGAATGTTGTCAACTGGTTGATTTTTCAACTAACGATTTGAATCACTATTTCTAATAACCTTTTGTGTTAATTTATTATCTATCTTTTCAAGATATTCGACAAATTTATTATTTTAATTAGTAAATCATTTATTTAGTTACATAAGTCTGAGCTGTATAGTTCTATGCATGTGCAGAGGTCGAAGGGCGCACTTAGCATTAAGTCTCATACTTGAGACTAGGCTTTAGTGTATATTTAAAAGTGTTATTTAGTAAAGATGTATTTAGAAAGGTTTTATTGTATTCTGTAAGTTTTTTTTTTAAACTTTGATAATACTGTTAGCTTGTTTATTAGAATCTAAATTTTTATAATACAAATTATATTTATATATATTTTATAAGATTAATTATTATTAATATTATATTAGTTATTTTAATTTTACTAAATTAATCAGAACTCTTTCCGATGATCCTCTGCACCAATTTTTTCACAAATACCGACCTACGAAAATTATATAGTTAGCATGTTTATATACAACAAA